TAAAAATCAACATATAATTCAGCTCGACTCAACAACAAAATTTGACACAGTTCAAAAATATTCATTTATTATTAATCATCAAACAATTAATAATTTCAAAAACTAACTTCCCTTACTTGGATAATCCTGAACCGAAATTTGAGCAGAACCTCCTCCTCTTTCTCCTCTTTTCTTTATTCTGACAGAACCACCTCTACCGGATTCCTCTTCCTCTTTCTCCTCCTTTCCTTTCCTCCCTCTTTCTCTAAGGATTTTCTCTTCCCAAGGTATGAATTTTCGTAACTCCCCAAGCCCCTATTTATAGCAATTCTGGCTCCTCTACCCGGTACGGCCGTTCCAAAAAGCGGAACGCCCGTTCTGGGCTCGAAAAAGCTACGCAAATTTTTGAACTGGAACGGCCCGTTCCAAATACGGAACGGCCCGTTCCCAATTTCCAGCAGAACGGCCCGTACTCCTTTTGAAACGGCCTGTTCTCCCTTTAGAACGGCCCGTTTCACAATCAGAACGGCCCGTTCTCCTTGTCGGAACGGCCGTTCTGAGCCCGTTCTCACTCAAGATTTTTAGTTAAATTTTAAAGCTTGGAACGGCCCGTTTTGCTTTTGGAACGGCCCGTTCCAAGTTACCAAAACACCCTTCAAACTTTTTGAAAATTGCGAAAATGCCATCAATAATTACAATAATACCCCTATACCTTTATAAAATTCACGAAAATGCCATTTTAATAATAAATAATAATAATAAAAAAAAAATAAGGTATTACAAAAGGTTCTTATATTTAGGGTCAACGACAACTTAATAGGGTTCACATACCCTATATTCTCTCTTGGTGAATAATAAATTAATATCATATTAACAAGAATAAATTTTTGACATCATAATCATAGAAAATCATAGAATGTTCTTACACTCTTGTCCATTATATTCATCAAAAAGAATCATCATACAATAACAAACATGTTTTTCTGATCTTAGGGTCAGGAACAATTTTATAGTGTTATATACTCTAAATTTTTTTATGATGAATAGAAAAACTTATCTCATAATAATAACATGTATTTGTGATATCAAAGTTAGGAGAAATAATTAAAGGTTATTACATCTTTATTCATCATATATACATTAAAAGAATCATTATATAATAATATTAGAGATTTAACGAATTTATAATTATTGATAATTTTATAGAATTCAATATCCTAAATTCTCTCATCATTAATATAAAAATTCATATCATATTAACAATAAAATAAATTCGAAATCAGAGTCATGGGGAATTAAAAAAAATTAAACAATTAAAAATAAATTTATCTAAAATTCAAAAAATTTAAAATATATTTATAAAAAAAAACTATCATATATAAACACATCATTACATCAATATCAACTAAAGCTTTTAAAAACTAAAAAAATAATTTAAAAAATGGTACTTATTAAATAAATGTATATTTAATAATGAAAAGGTAAAAATTAATAGAGAAGGTGAAGACGGCAAGGTTTGCGGTGAGAGACACTACTAAACAGAAGAGAAGAGAGATCTCATCTGGGAGAGGCAGAGTAGATTGAGTCTGGTCAAGATGATGTCCGGAAAATACACGTCGATTGACGCGCAGCAACTTCAAGGATCTGTTCCTGTGAGTCTTCTTCTTCTCTCTCCGCAATCCAAATCTATCGTTCTTAACTCTTCCGCATCTCACTCTCCTTCTTTCCTTCCTTTCAGGCCGTTCCAGATCAAGGACCCGCCACCGTCAATTTCGCAGGTCCAATTAAAGCATTCTCAATTCTCAATTCTCAATTCTCAATTCTCAATTCCACTCTCTTGTTATTAGCCACTCATCTATTCGTACATTTTTTTTTTCCTTTTTAGATTCGAATCTTCAGACATTTCCTCCATCTGGAACGCAGGGCAAGATTTCCGCTGCTTCCGGCCCTCCGCGCGATGCTGATGGTACACATCTCAATCTCAATATCGCTCCATTTTTTTTTTAATATCTTCTTATGTATAGGTTAAACGCTTCCCAGTGATTGCTCTTTTATTGCCATGTGCTAAATTAAATTAAAATAGGCGATATTCCTTTTTATTTATATTTTTTTATTTATTTTATGTTGCTTCGATCCTTGATGCATTTGGCCAGACTTTAGTTGAATGATTAAGATAACAACTTAATAAAGTAGATGACTCCGTACAAACTTGGGGTATACAGGCAATGATAATATTTTGCAGGTTGTAAAATCTTGCTCTACTAATATTCCCCTGATCCAGCTTACAATTTCTTCATATTGTTTATCCTTATATTATAATTTTTAGCATATTTATCTGATATGGGCGTAATATACATCATACTAAATAACATATCATTGTCTAATGGGAATGTGCTTGGGAGACGGAACCATAGTTATCGATTAGCACGCAATGGCAGTGTAACAGCCTTGGGCAACTACCGAACTTGCATCACGGTGGCTGTCATGGCTGCAATCGTGGATTCATGGCTAAAGAGTGGCCTGTCACAACACTATGAGCTTGTTTGGATATAGTATAAAAATACTTTTCGAAAATTTCTCTGCTAGAAATAAATAATATTTTTCAGTAGAGAAGCTCTTAAAAGTCTTTCTGTGCTTGTATCCAAACATGTTCTACATATAGGGGGCACTAAAATGCATCATTGAAAGGCCATGGCACTGGTGGGTAAAGTTGAGACTTGAGATTTTCATCACCCCTCCCCCCAAAAATTCCTTTCTCTGTTCTGAACTCCGATGCATGCCCTCATCGACTTCTGTTCTTTTCTCCATGTAAAGGCCATACCATTGTCTCAGGGACCTTCAAAGCATGCTGCTTCCTCAGCCTCCTCTTGTGTGCTGGTGAAGCCTATGGGTGAAGACATTGACACTGTATGGCAATGGAGTAACTTGAAAAATATCAATGATAGAAGAGTGTGATGTGTATCTTTTAGATTTATATTTTCTCTAGTCTGAATTCTGGTCTATTTTCTTTTATTGCCTCTTAACCAAATTCCGTTTTTCTTCAATTTTGTTGTTATTTACTTGTATCTTTTATTTTAAGACCTATGGTTGTTTTATTGTAAACTTTGATCATGACATGGATTTTGACTAGTAGTCAATAGGGCACTATTGTAGCACTATGGGATTCGGACAGTGGAGTGGTTTTGGATTGTGGCTTTGCACGTGCCATAGTGGTTCTACCATAATATACAGGCTTCAAAAAAAAAATTTACTCCTAAAACAATGTTATTTAGGGCCATATTTTATGGTAAAATTGTGATTTCTTCCTTGACTATTCCACAAAAAATGTGTTTTGGCCTTTACACTTTACAGAACTATTTTTTCTTCCCCGTGTTCTATTCTTTCTTATTCCTTTAAATGTCCCAACTCCCAATTTTTTTTTAATAATTTTTTATCTAATTTCTTATGTTCATTTTCTATTAATTTCACTATCATCTTTCATTTTTCTGATTTGATTACTATGTTTTGGTTGCTTCTAGATTGGCAGTGATTGTGTTGTGTGAAAAATGTTACTACTTTCATTCCTATTTATAAGAAACAAATGAAAGTATTATTTTGGTCCTAATTATAAGAAACATAAGTTTACTTTTAAATGTATTAATTGGTAATTTTTTTTTATACCTTCTATTTATTATGAGTCTCTCGATGAGTCATCTACTCTTTTTCTATAAAAGTTGATGCATTTATTGGGCTACTAACACTATAAATCATGCTTATTGGTTAAAAAAATTATTCCTTGGCATATGAGCAGTGTCATTAAATATAACTATCACATTTAATTCTGTGTATTTTTGGAATAAAATTTCAAATTATGACATTATTAATTAAAACTAACTACTTTCATTGGTCTTAATGAATTAGGTATTTGTTTCTTATGTATAAGAACTGAAGTAGTATTATTTATTATGAGTTTTTTTTTGAGTGCTTATATGTGTAGTATAAATTATTTAGTTTATATTATAATATTTAAAATAGAGGTCATTCTGCTTCCCAATAATCCGAGATTGATATTTTTTTATGGTTAAATTATAATTTTGTTCCTTACTCTTGTCTCATTTTTTGTTTTAGTACCCACATGAAAAATAAAATAAATTTTAATCTCTCATAAAAGAATATTACAAATTGTTCTCAATCATTTATTAAATTTATGATGGCATTAAAGTATTTTCCATGTAAGGACCAAAATAAAAAATGATATATCATGTGTAACTAAGCAAATGTAATTTTATTACATGGATGGAGCTAAATAAAATTTATTTATTTTTGTATAAATATTTAAGCAAAAAAAGCCAAGTATCGAGACCAAATTTAATATCATTATAACTTTGATAAATGGCAGACTAATTTGCAAATGGTTTTCATACAAGGGACCAAAATGTAGGATTTTTTAATGTAGGGAATGAAACCAATTTTTGTGTTATATGTATATGGTATAAATTATGCAATGTATATAATTAAAAAGTTTCAAAATAGAAGTCACCTTGCTTTATGTTATCTGGGATTGGATGCAATGTTTCTCTGTTTGAGATTGATAACTACGGAGGAAACTTTGCAGGCAACTTGGATGGATCTGATGTGACACCTATTAACATACTTTCTACAATTGTGTTGCAAAAGATGACTTTTACTGCTTACTTAGAGTCAAAACTAGTTCATAAAATGATAGTATTTTTCCCTTCATATCCTTTTAATTTGAATCTTGCATTTATTTCTTTTACTCTAGGGGATGATTGATGCTTATTACATTACTTATGACATTGCCTTCTGTTATACTTCTGGCAAATTTATGATTGGAGTTATTGTGTTTAATTATTTTTCTTGGATATCTGTTTGACATGTCTGTGTTGTGAATTGTGTCATTCATTTTATTTTATGCAGATTCATTTTCAAAACCTGGATCTGGTTCTGATGAATCCCAGCAGGGTGGTTGGCTTCGGACTTTTACAATTGCTGCTTACAAACCGTACTTTGATGTTGACACTTCAGATGTTGTAGAGAGGATTAGGGACTCACTATTTCCATTTAGAGGATCTTTTAATGAAAAGACTGCTACCAACCCTGATTTGTGAGTAGACTTCGTCTTTTTCTTGTTTCATTGACTGAGCAGACTACCAATTTTCGGTTCTGACTTTTGAGTTCTGACATTATCAAATTATGATAATGATGACATGTATATTGTTAAATATCATTTTTATGAAGAAAAGGTGTATCTAAATTGTTGTAGCCAGTTTTAATATGCTAATATCTTGTGAGCTAAAGTCATGTATAAGACATAAATGAAGAGCTACTATAATATTCTAGTGGTTTACTTGTTTCAGGTTTGTGTTTCCAACATTTTGGGGGAGGGAGGGGGTGAAATTTTTTTTTCTTCTTCTGTGCATCATTTTCTCATCGTGTATACTAACTTTTGAAATAAATCTGAAACAAGCTTATTAAACTATGATTCTTTTCCCAATAACATATGAATGTTAGTTATGTTTTGTATCCGAAGGAGATGGCCTAGTATGTTTTCCCAATAACTGTAGGCTTGTCTAGTTGATCCCCTATTAACTGGTGAATCGAACATAATTTCAATGGTTAACAATTAGTCAGTAATATTTATTTGTGATGTAGAAAACCGACTCATAAAAGCTTGACTATTGACAGCAGAGAGCTACTATTTTAAATGGGAATTAAATATTTCACACCCAGCTGGACTAACCTCTGCATAACTTTGTCAGGTTGGAAAGAGTGGT